CCGACATAACATGTTCTGAAAGCTTCTTCGTACCAAAAGATGTTTTCCAACAATTTTTGTCACCTTTTACTTGGTTTTTTTTTTTGGATGAGGATCACACATATATAGATGTCATAGGACTAAATGCATGAACATGGCAACATTAATTTCAATAAACAGTGAAACATTTTCAATCAAACACTGCAGAAAACTGTTGTATCCCTAAAGCTCAACTTTTTTTTTGGGTTTTCTATGGGACCAAACATTATAGAAGTTTATGTGCATGAATTTGGTCTTTTGGTCACCTTAAAAAGACAAGATTAATAGGTTTCTTTTTTTTTCTCCAAACTAGACATGGTAAAATCTTATGTTTTCAAAGATCAAGATTTCTGGAATTTTGTTGCAGGTTCTAATGCGAGTTGGACTGTTACTAGAATTTTAAAATTGCGCTCTATTGCTCTCACAGTATTATCTTCTTCTGGTTATCTTAGGCTTAATGACATTTGGGAATCTATTCGAGTCAAAAGGGAGAAAGTTCCCTGAGAATCTGATATGGTTTCCCATGCACATTCCTAAATTCAGTTTGATTGCTTGGATGTCTTTGTTAAACAGATTACCTACTAGAGACCGGTTTCTCAAAATGGGAATTTTCACTGAAGGGACCTGTGTTAACTGCAGTAACGATCAGGAGACAAGAAATCATCTTTTCTGTCAATGCGCTCTTGTTGTTCGCCTTTGGAACTCTGTCCTTTCGCTTAATGGCTTGAAGAATGTTCATCTTCATGGGAAGAAATGGTTACTCGGGCTTCTTCATCATGGAAAGGGAAATCATTGCTCACCACAATCCTGAAGATTGCTTGGACTGCCTATATCTACACATTGTGGGAGGAAAGAAATCGTAGAATCTTCCAAGGTCGTCACAGATCACCTGATGATTTGCTCAAGGTTATTACTGAAGCTGTGCGAATTCAACTAAAGGGTAAAAATATTAATAGAGCTGATATAATAAACTCTAACCTTTGTATTAATTGGGGTATTACTTAAACCAATCATTGTCTTTTATAGTAGGTTGTTGTTAGTTTTGTTTCTGATTGGTTGATTGTTTTTGTAGCAGAACTCTGCTCTTCTGGATAATAAAATTTGATTTATCCAAAAAAATAATAATTGATTTATAACTTGTTCAACTTTGTTGTTAGAGTTTATGATCTAAGCTTCGTTCGATTTAAACGATTTATGATACGATCTGTTTAGTGAAGAAATAAAATTGAAAGAAAAATGAGATATGTGATGGATATCGAGTCTCTCTAGCATAATTTTACCACATATCCGATCCATATACGACTATAAAACCGAAGACAACAAAAAAGCCATTGCTCGGGTTAAATCAAACTAGAAAATGTGTTGTTTTGGAGGACGACAGGGTTCCCCACATTTACGTTTTGGGTGATTTTGTGGTTGAAGGCTCTGTTCATGCACCTGTAATCTCTGATGTTTACCTTGAAGCATCTAAGACCATTTTTTTGGATTAATTCCGTCGGGTGTCTCTCGATTTTGATATCGATTCTAAATTAATCCCTAAACTTTGTATTATTTTAGTTAAATCTTCGAAAGTTCTTCCATCGGAAGGATTAAATTAGCTTAGATGTTGATTTAACATGGAAAAACATGTTTTTTCAGAAAATAGCCCTTATATTTTAATGATGTTCTCCGTATATTTTTTAAGATCAATTTAAAATTTAGGTTATAATTTGAGGTCTTATTGAACTTAACCTTTTTGTCTTGTTAAAGCTTTAGGTGAATATTTCAACGCTTTCAATATCTGTATTCAATGGTTTTGGTTGATAGCTTCCCATCTACTTCCATTGCCCTCCAACTTGATATATGAACATTGAAAATTGACAAAAATATTGATTATTTTGATCGAGTAACAAGAAGGTTGGTTTTTTAAATATATATATTAATTTTTTAAAAATATATTTAATACATGAATTAGATTTTTTTTTTATAAATTTATACTTAAAAAAATCATTTTTAATTTCATAATTAAAAAATATTTGTTCCCAATTGATATTAAAGTTTAATTGTATTTAATGTTTTGATACTATTATTAATGATATCATCATAATTAAATGTGTAGCGGTAACTCGACGGCGGCGAAACCGCTATTTCGCGGACGAAATCATGTTTTCGGACGTGTTTTGAGATCCTGATCCACACAACGTTGAACACCACACTTAGATAACATAGCCTTTCAAAAAGGACATTCAAAGAAGATGTCCATCAACCACAACTCCGAATCGAAGCAATCTATCCTTAATAGCTAGTCGGTCCAACATAACCAACCAGGAAATAATAATGTGTCGAGGCATATGCAATGGAAACCACACCAGTTTTTACCAGGGAACATTGGCCTTCGCATCCCGCGGATTAAACCAGATCGTTCTGGTCGAGCTACGACTCGAGCCAGCAAAACCAAAGTTCTGGCCACCTTTTGAAGGGAAAAAAACTTTCTTCAAACTTCAACTACAGCTCTTGGGTTCAAACCGCCATAAATCAACCCTTTTGGTCACATACGACCTAACCCAAGTCACCCACAAAGAGCCCTCGTTTGCAAGGAGCTTTCGGAGTGATTGCAGCATGCAAGCTTGATTCCATCCAGCTAGGTCCTTGAGTCCTAACCCACCTTCCGATCGAAGGGACCACACATGGCTTCAACTCATCCTAGCCCCAGACGCAGAAGAGTCCGTGCCCATCCAAAAAAAAAGTGCATACATATATGCTCGATATGCTTCACAATAGCTTTCGAGATAACATCATCATCATCTCTTCTCAATTTGGTTTTACTTGAAATCAAAAAACTCAAATTAAGATTTCATCTTATCTTGGTCCGTTCTATAATTTTCACCATCTAATCATCATGAAATCGAGATATATTATTTGTTTCCTTCTCAATCTTCTTATTGTTCGCATTTAGAAGAAAATACTCGTGTGTCGGTTATAAAAAATAGTTATAGAATCCATTAAGCAACATAGTGACAAAAGAAAGTTCTTCTCCCTAGAGATATTGTGTTCGATTTGCTACGTCTGCAGCGAGTGTGTGCATTGTTAATAGCTAAAAAAAATTATAAATACATACTATCTTGGAATTACCTCAAACCATTCAAAAGTAAAATTTAATTATAAGATGTAGTGTCAGGGTTTTCTTGCTTAAATACTAAAGAATTATACGGCTTTAAAGACTTAAATTGACTTACTATAGCAAATTTTAAAAGTTTGATTGAAAACTAAATACATTATAAAATGTAACTATTTTTTAAACTTTAATTATTTCATTTACAATACCATAGTTTAAACCATCAATATTAAAAAGAAGTTAGGAACTAAAGTTATAAAAGGAGATGTGGATGTGGTGAGGATGTGTCGGACAAAAGAACGCCTGGACCGAACTGGACACTCGTGTCCGACATGAAGAAGAGAGTGCAAGAATCGGCTTCATAATTTCTTTCCCAATTGCTTTAATGGTGGGTTCCAACCTCACAAAATGGGAACCGAATATGACATTGTTTTGATTGAGAGAGACCGAGAAAATGAAAGATGGCAGTTTGATGAAATGTTTTGTTTTGAGACCGAGTTGATTTTCTGTCGGAAAATTGTCATTTGTTGATCAGAAAGACTTGTCCAAATAACCAGAGCAGTAGGAAGGTGCAATGGATTTTCGTGACTACTCGTATGGAAGAAAAGACATCTTTTTTTGTTGGGTTTTCATTTCTAGCCCAAGACAATGTACTTTATAACACTTTGGCCCACTTTTTTTTTTTTTTTACATTTATCTGTCAATGAAAAAATTGATTTTTTTTAAGTTTTTTAATATTCTAATATAATTAGAACGTAATATTCATATTCGATTTTAAATAAGAAATACATCAGTAGTTCTATATATTTTTTGAACAAATACAAGTTCAAACCAAAATGATCGAAAGATTTACGGGTTGAACCGACCCGACATAAACCTCATTTAATATCGGCTCAAACTCTTTACTTGATATCCAACTTGATATTTCTAGCGCTCGAACTCGGAACCTAAATGAATGACAACAATTCCTTTTAACACTTGAGCCGTTTGATTCGTACCCCGGTGAGAAATTATTTTAAGAAAAAATGGGACAATTCTAATCCTTTATTGGATTGAAGAAAACAATCCTGATAAGTAATTAGATGTAATCATGCAGATGATTTCTTTGAATCTCGTATTTGAACAATAATTAAGTATATTACTATCGCAAATTTTCATTGCAACTGTCATCAAAAGAAGAGACACAAATGAAGTAAATTTCCTCCTCCTTGCTTCATTTCATCGATCTCCGTTAATTTAGATCGAATACTATATAATCTCGTTATAAAATATTTTTTTTTAAATTAAGTATTGTATTTACAATATCATAATTTAAACCATCAATATTGAAAAAAGAAGTTAACAGGAGCTGAAGTCATAAAAGGAGATGTGGATGTGGTGAGGATGTGTCGGACAAAAGAGGGCATGGACCGAACTGGACACTCGTGCCCGACATGATGAAGAGAGTGTAAGAATTGGTCTCATAAATTTCTGTCCCAATAGCTTTAATGGTGGGTTCCAACCTTACAAAATGGGAACCAAATTGGACAAGGTTTCGATTGAGAGAGACAGAGAAAATGAAAGATGGCAGTTTGATGAAATGTTTTGTCTTAAGACTAAGTTGATTTTCTGTCGGAAAATTGTCATTTGTTGATCAGAAAGACTTGTCCAAATAACCAGACCAGTATGAAGATGCAATGTATTTTCGTGACTACTCGTATGGAAGAAAAGACATCTTTTTTGTTGGGTTTTCATTTCTAGCCCAAGGAAATGTACTTTATAACAATTTCGCCCACTTTTTTGTTGGGTTTTCATTTTTAGCCAAGGACACCCCTCCGTAGGCCACACAATCGTAAAAACTGCCCCCAAACTTCATGAGATAACGGACAAGTAAAAAACAAGTGATCCCTTAATTCAGGCAACTAGGATCAACCACCGAATTCATTCTCAAAAGTCTATCACGCGTGCTAAGTCTGTCCAGAATAGCAATCCAAACAATAATAGCGTGTTTTGGAACATGCAAAGGAAACCATAGGAGTTTATGCCAAGGCACAACAGGGGTCTTCACCTTCCACTCCTCCAAGGCAAAAAGCCAAGAAAGTTTTAGGGACTCAAGTTTAGGGAAATATTGGGCAGAGCAAACCATTTTCTTCCCCAAGAAAGCAAAATGTTTTAATTCAAGAATCCTTAAGTTGCGCAGCTTCTCTAGTGTTGGCATAGGATCTTCCTTAAGGCGGCTGGTTTCCAAGCGAATGACAGTGATATTTGAAGGGAAATGGTGATACTCTGGTAACTTGTCCATCCACCCGATTAAAACCAGCTCACACAGATTAACACAGCTTGAAAGGAGGTGAGCTACTAGTTTTAGATGTATTTTCTCTCCAGTCATGGATAAGAATTGAAGATGTTTGCTTGTGATGATAGGCAGATTCTTATCCGAACACTCCTTAAAATCTTCAATATCGAAGCCCCCACACATCGCCAACTTTCTCAGATTTGTTAGATTTGAAAGATCTGTAGCAAAACAATTCCATTTCATGAAGCTGACGAGTGTTTGAAGGTTTCTCAGTGTGTCCAACCTCAACTTGGTGGTGTTGTTAATCTGACGTTCATCTGGGAGATAGAGATGTCTTAACTGTTCCAACTTCCATATCACATCCAGAGTATAATCTCATAACCCCAACCTGATTTGAAATCCATTGTTTGCAAACACTTTTAAGTTCCCTAGAGATGGTGGAGTCCTTGCATGATATCGACAGAAGCCCCTTAAATTCAAGAATCTCAAGTGGATGAGATTGCCTATAGCATCGTGTAACTCGAATGCGTTACGGCCAGAATAAGATACTTGAAACTCCAGGACTCTAAGCAATTTAGAATTGTTCAACAAGGATGTCCAAGATCCTTCATCTTTACAGCATAGATAAACACGCAGCAGTGAATTGCAGTCGTAATCAACCTTGTCAGTCGGATTACAAAAGAACAACATTGATCTCAAACGAGGACTTTTAATGCACCGAGAGGCAATGGATTGATGTGCAGCAATTCTGCGAGCAGGAGGAAGGAGGGATCGCCAGTGATGCAGGCAAATTCCTTCCTTGCCATAGACAAACACAGATCCCTCATCAGATCATGCATGCGGCATGTTTTGATCTTGCCAATGGGGTGTCTTTTTCCAACTTGAACCATGCATCGTTTCCACTAGCAATTGCAGTCGTAATCAACCTTGTCAGTCGGATTACAAAAGAACAACATTGATCTCAAACGAGGACTTTTAATGCACCGATAGGCAATGGATTGATGTGCAGCAATTCTGCGAGCAGGAGGAAAGGAGGGATCGCCAGTGATGCAGGCAAAATTATCCTTCCTTGCCATAGACAAACACAGATCCCTCATCAGATCATGCATGCGGCATGTTTTGATCTTGCCAATGGGGTGTCTTTTTCCAACTTGAACCATGCATCGTTCCACTAGCTCAACTAACCAACCTTCTGCAACATCCTCCATCATTTTCCCTTCAACCTCATCTGATGAAACAAAGCCTTCTGCAACCCATAGCTGAATCAATCTTTCTGCATCGATCTCATAATCTGGAAAAATACTTAAATAGGATGGTAAATCATAGTAACTCAGGGTTAACACATCCTCCATGTGTAGGTCTTCGTCTCTCAGCAGATATAATTTGACATTTTCAAAAACCATTTTCCATTCATATACTGAATTCCTTTTACCCAAAATGCCTCCCAGTACAATGATGGCTAACGGCAGCCCTGCACAACGATGAACCATTTCCTTCCCTAATTTTTCCATTTCTACATCAACTATGTTTTCTGTAAAATAAGCAATACTACTATTCATCAGTAACCACAATCGATATCTTTCTCCGATAAGGCTATAAACAAGTTTATTACAATACAGGAAACAATAGAACTTATCATAAAGAGCTAGTCTTGAACTTGTACGTAATTTTGACATGTATTCCTATATCGTAGAATATATTTACGAAATGAGATAAATATATTAATTACCTGTAGAATCTTTCTCCGGAAATGCAATTATTCGGAACAATTCCCAGCTTTTTTCATCACTTAAGCACTGTAATTCATACAGGAGGCCTCTGCTGGGATCTGCATGTGAAAAAATCTGTTTGTTTCGAGAGGTGAGCAAGAACTTGCTCCTGCTCTCCCTTGTTGTTGGAAAACCAGGCTTTAGAAGATCCCAAGCATCGATGCTCCAAATATCATCCAGAATCACCAGACACTTGTTTTTCTCCAAATGGCTGAACAATTTAGCAGCTAAGTCTTCATCACTACGTTTGCTACCTCTCTCATTATTGGAGGTAAGGCCGGTTAAAATGTCTTCCCAAATTTCTCTTTTCTGGAACAGGGAAACATTAACCCAAGCCAAGCTATCGAAATGACGGATAACCTGGCAGTGGCGATATATTTTCATTGCAAGAGTGGTCTTGCCTAGACCACCCATGCCACATATGGAGACAACCTTGGAACCATTTGTCACATCGACCACGATTGACACCATATTCTTGAAAAAATCATCCAACCCAACGACTTGGTCGATGATATGAGGATACGGCCGCATTGCTTCTCGTCTCTCTGTCGAAGAACTTGAGCTTCCTCCATCCCTTAATCTTCTTATGCCGTACGTCTGTAATCGTCGAGTCAGTTCAATGATCCTGGCCGTGATTCTCTCGATCTCTGACTTGGTTTCATGGCGCACCCATCCCTCCTTCATGAAACAAGCGGATCTTTTGATGAAGCCTCGTTTCTTCTTGGATGCAACTTTGAGGGCGAAAGTCTCGATCACATCTTCGGCATCATAAGCAAGCTCTCTGATGTCAGCAACACATTGACGAACCACGTCGTTGAGTTTTCTTGAATCGGCTTCATTTAAGAAGCTGAGCTTCAACTTGAACCCCGTCCGTAAACTCTCAACTTGGGCCTCCACGTCCAATAGGATATTGCTTCTCGAACAATTACATCGCGCATTCTTTCGAGCAAAGATGATCCACCTGACAAATCCATGAGGCTAACACTTTCTTTGAGTGACCGAAGATAATTGATCTTTTGGAAATTATGTTTTTGATAAGTTCAATTATGGGTGTTAGATCAAAATGTATAGAGTTATGGCTTGGTGAAGATGCTTTAAGTGTGCAAGTTGAACAAGGCATTGTATGGTCTTCAACAAGCGCCTATGAACTGGCAAGCATGGTTGAAGCAATGTCTACTTCAGCTTTGGTTTGCTTAGTCTAGGGCTGATACATCGTTGTTCATTCGCAATAACAATGGTGTTTATATGTATATGCTAGTTTATGTGGATGATATTGTGGTTACTGGCAGTTCAAGTACTGAGATTGATGATGTGGTTCGCCAGTTGAGTCTTGCATTCTCGTTAAAAGATTTGGGAGAGCTTGGCTACTTTCTTGGCATTGAGATCGAAAGATGTGAAGGGTCGTTAGTGCTAAGTCAACGCAAGTTCGTTCTTGAGTTGTTAACAAAAACGGGCATGGATAAAGCCAAATCGGTGGTAACGCCTATGGTTCTGGGCAAGTTGCAATCTGATGTTGGTGACCTGCTGTGTGATGCAAGGGAGTATCGTAGCATCATTGGAGGATTGTTGTATGTGTGTCATACTCGACCTGAAATCACCTATAGTGTGAATCAAGTAGCCCAGTACATGCATGCACCACGTTAGGGTCACCTGGTTGCTATTAAAAGAATACTTCGGTATCTTGCAGGCACACTTGAGTATGGCTTAGTGATATCTCCTTATGGAGTGAATGTAAAGATAGTGGCGTTCGCTGATGCAGATTGGGGTGGTAATCTTGATGATAGGAAGTCTATTTCTGGGCACTGTGTGTTTGTGGGGGATAATCTTGTGTCCTGGACTTCTAAGAAGCAGAAGATAGTTTCAAGATCCACTATGGAAGCTGAGTATCGCAATGTAGCTGATGCAGCAGCAGAGGTGGCTTGGGTTGATGCACTTCTTTCAGATATGGGAGTTGTGAGACAAGGAGCAGGGTCGGTCCTTACATTTTAGGGGCCCTAGGCAAAATAAAAGATAAGTACCCCTAAAAAAATAACTTAGGCCCCTAGTGTATAGTGGAGCATGAATATCTGCTCAAGTATTTATAATGAGCACTACTAAAGCTACCGCATATTACTAAGGACATCTCCAAAGCTGTGCTACAGTAGAGATATTTCCACTGTAGCGTGCTCCAGCCCTGCGCCAGTTCCATCGCCACTGTGCAGATTTGCTACAGTACCGCGTCACATCTAGCGCGGTAATGTAGCTCGCGTTAGATTTTATTTTTTTAGTTAAAATATATTAAATTATAAGATAGATAAAAATATATTTAAATTAGATAAATAATCATATTAATTTTTTTGTAATTTTTCAGATTTTTTTGAATTTTTTCTGATTTTTTTATATTTGTAAAATTAATATTATAATAGTTAAATATTGTGAATAAAGTAGAGTTAGTGGTAATGTAGAGATAGCGCTGGAGATGAATTATTGTTTCATGTCTGGAGTAGAGATAGAGATGCGCTAGAATAAGGATTAGGACTGGAGATGGCCTAAACATACCAAGTGTGGGGAGTATTACTAAACATATCATGTGTGGGCCCAATTTTCGATGATTGGGAATGTAATTGATTGGGAAGGAAATCAGGTCTTACTTATCTTCTTGTCATCTTCTTCAACACTACCCCAACACTAATTCCCTTTTATTTACCTAATTTATTCAAAAACATTAATTATCGAAATAACTTTCATTCTAATTTATTTATTAAAAAGTAAAATTTATCGGATATATTTTTTTATCAGATATATTTTTGTTTATGTCACATGTTTCATTTATGGGACAAAAACTGTTCGTCTTTTTCGTCTTTGTCATATCTTTATTAACACAAGAATGTTTGTTTATGTCACATGTTTCATTTATCGGACAAAAATTAGTTGTCTTTTTCTTCTTTGTCTTATCCTTGTTAACACAAGAATGTGTAAAGAGGGGCAATTGTAGACACTCGCTTTTGTCCGGGCCGAAAAAAATATTTTAAATATTATTATTATTATTATTATTTTTATTATTAATATTAATATTAATATTAATATTTCTTTATTAATTATTACCTAACCTAAAAACTCATTACCTATTAAATAATCATTTACTAAAAATCCGCTACCCATTAAATAAAAACCCACTAACTATTAAAGAAAGAAAACTTTATTAAAAAAATAAAAAAAATAGTGTGTTTAATATATTTATTGATATATTTAGACACTTTTTTTATAATATGCATGCATATTACTAAACCCACATTACATAAACCAACGGTATTATATTATAAAGACAAGTGGGGCAAGTATTTATAATATGCATGACTTTAGGGATAAAAACGGTATTATATTATAAAAAGTGTATTTTTTTAGGGGCCCAAGTATTTATAATATAATATGCATACATATTATAAAGACAAGTGGGGCCCCACATCTGATAGATTTAGTAATATCGGGTAGTTTTAGTAGTGCTCAATAAAAAAATGGTGTTATATTAAACTTAGGCCCCTCAAAAAATTTGGGAATTGCGATTTAGTCTAAAAATTGAGTTTTTTTAATTATTAAATTTAAAAATATTTTTAAGAATGGGCCCCCTCTAAACGTGGACCCTAGGCGGTCGCCCCTCTCGCCTACCCTCAGGGCCGGACCTTACAAAGAGTGTCGGTTATTTGGTGTGATAACAGTGATGTTGTGGCCATGAGTAGCAATCCAATATATCATGCAAAGCCCAAACATGTGGAGCTTGATATGCATTTTGTACGAGAAAAGGTTGTTGCTAAACAAGTGGTTGTTAACTATGTTCCAGCAAGTCACCAGGTTACAGATGGGGTTACTAAGCCATTGTCTAGATCATTGTTTGAGCAATTTCGGTCTAAAGTAGGGAGAACGTAGGGAGAATGTTAGACCTATAGATTGTTATGCAGTTGAAAACGTTGGGAGCAGTTGAGAGTTGGTTACGTTTACAAGCCTGGAGTGTATAAGCTGTGATGTACCTATATAAGTATGGCCTAGTGCCTTTGTAAATGCAGTGAATAATAAATCCATTTCTAACTGTTAGTATATAATTCTTTACATTATGAAGCATAATTTCCTTTCTCGGTGAGTATTCCTTCCCCATAATTAATATGTTACCATCATTTCTACTAATCTTTTTAGGAAATAAACTAGTTAATATGTTACCATCATTTCTACTATTCTTTTTAGGAAATAAACTATCATTTCAGCTATATATATATATTGGATGTGGGTTTTATCTTCATCACATTGAATAAAATCCTCTTAAATTCGAGTTAAATACGGGTTGAGAGATTTAACTTTTAAGTTATGTTCGAAACATACCAAAAATCTGACTCTACCCAATTCATATGGATGTAATATGTCATTACGTGCAACTATCTTCACTATAAAAATTTTAAAAAAATTAAAGGAAATACACTTAAATATACCAGTAAAGAAAATACTAAAAAATAGACTTTCTATGTATTGCATCGTCCCTTGTCTATAATTTTTGGGTATGGATTTTAAAAATGTGAATTTCTGGGATGTTGACTGTAAAAGCCACTTCAGCTGGATTGTGAGGAAGCTGCTGAGGCTAAGAGATGGGGCAAGGAGGCTGTTTTCTCCTGGTAATCCCTGGTGCAACATTACAAGCAGCTGGATTTAGGACAACATCAGAGTTCACGGGGAGAAGGTTAATTGGCACATAATTGTTTGGTTCCCTGGTCATATCCTCAAGTTCTCCCTTATATCGTGGATGGTATTTCTTAACAGGCTGCCTACTAAGGTTAGGTTGACCAGATTTGGTTTGATTACGGATACTGACTGTGTTTTGTGTGGATAGGATCTAGAATCCTGTGACCATCTCTTTACAGGTTGTTTCTTCGCCAAGGAAGTCTGGAGGACTATTTTAGCTTCATGTGGAATTCGTCATGACGTGTAAAGTTGGGATGACTGCCTCAGTTGGTTGGTTGTTAACCTGAAAGGTAAATCCCTCAGAGTGCTAATTCTCAAGCTGGCTTGGACTGGTTTCTTATACTACATTTGGAAGGAGCGTAACCATAGATGTTTTAGAGGTCATGCTTGTTCGGTTGACACAGTTGTATATAGAATTAAAGAGGCTGTAAAAATCAAGTTGTATATGAATTGTATACATAGGATTGATGAGGCCAATAGCAGATATGCTGCTTTTCTTTTGGATGAATATAATTTATTTATCAAAAAAAAAAATTGGGTATGGAGTACTAAAAATAAATAATATTTTTCATTAATTAATAACTCGTGTATATCTTATTTAATTGAAACTTTAATAATAAATAGTAGAATGATTTCTCTATCCTATAGTCATCTATTATAACAATGATATTTTTCTTTATTTATTTATCGTATATATATATAAATTATGGCTCTGTTGATTGTTAGTGCTATCGTTAAAAAATTTTACAGTATATAGATAGTGACATATCTAGAAATATTTTTCAGGATGAACACGTATATATCAATAACAAAAAAAAATCATATGGAACAAACATAAATAAAATTTTAAATTAACACCTTCAATAGAATAGACAACTAACCTAATAAAATTTAAATTTCAGAATGGATGCCTACCCGCTTAAACTGTACATATATCCGTCAGTAAGGGTATTCAAAATTCGGGTTTTAACCGAATTAACCGACCGAATTGAATTAGTTCGGTTAATTCGGTCGGCCACCGAATTAATTCGGTCGGGGAACGGTTAAGAATTTTTTTAGAATTCAGTTAACGGTTAATTCGGTTCGAAATCGGTTAATTAACCGAATTAACATTTAAATATAATTATATTAAGAGTCTCAATCCATTTAAAATCCAAATCAATATTAATTAATTAAAATAATATCAAAACTAAATACAAAATGTTTAAATTAAATTAATTAGATATTGTTTATAATTAGATATTATTTAAATTAATTGTAAATTATTTTTTTAATTAAAAAAATATTAAATTTTAAAATTCTAAAATATTTCGGTTAATTCGAAAATTAACCGAATTAACCGAAATTTATTCAGTTCGGTTAATATTTTCGAAAAAAAGTTCGGTTCGATTAACGGTTAAAGAAAAAAAAAGTTCAATTAATTCGAAAATAGTAGTTCGGTCGATTCGACCACCGAATTAACCGAATGAACACCCTTATCCGTCACTGTATCCAGGGGTTATAACCTTTCTAGCCGTTAGATCCGTCGCACACGGCATGAGGTGGGTGAGAGGGAAACAGCTCCCGTACTAACACCGACCAAAAATAATAAACAAATTAAATTAAATAAATATTCGCCGTCACTACTCGGAACCTTTTCCGTTAATCCGGAGACTAACCTAACAAACCAACGGCCGAACCCTCGTTAGCCATCGCCGCCCTTCGTTGACTCTTTGGGGTTTACTCAACAGATGGATTCTTTGGACTTATTATACTTAGTTTTTATTTATTTAATAACTAATTAAGGGTAAATTATATGTTTAGTACTTAAACTATTACTTTTATTCTGTTTTAATGTCTAAATTTTTATTTTTTTTGAAATCATACCTATAGTTTATTTTTTATTTCATTTTAGTATCCGTTCAAAATTTAACATTAAGTTTTAAAAACAACTGAAAGTTTAGGTATTAAAACAGACCAAAACTGATAATTTAGATATTAAATGCTTTAAGGTTTTAATAGTGATGTATTAAAATGAAACAAAAATTAAACATTAGGTATGATTTTGAAAAAATTAAAAGTTTAGGTACTGAAAGGGATCAAAATTGATGATTAGGTACTAAATGCATAGTTTATTCATTAATTATTTGTTTCTATAATGTTTAGGATGTGGAGATTCTGCATGAATCATACAACTTTATTGATTAAGAGATTTTTTTGAGGTTTTAGATTTGAATATTATGTATATTAGAAGTATAAATATTTATTATTAAGATACTAATTAATTAATCTTTGAACATATATTTTATTATATTAATTTCAAATTTATAAGAAAATTGTAAGAGCCGGCACGAAATAAAAAAATATTAAACTATAAGATATGATTTAAATATTAAGTACGTTTACTATCTATGTAATATTTGTTTTATAATAACATAATTTATTTACATTTTAAAATTATAGTAAATTACATAAATGATCCCTTGGTTATAGGGTATTATTTTATTAAGTTTATTGACTATTAAAAGTTACAAAATGATCATCTAACTATAAAGAATTATTTTGTTGAGTCCCTTAACTATTACAAGTTACAAAATGATCATGCAACTATTCATCATGTTCCAAACTTATAATTTTTCGTTAAAAATTTGACGAATAGTATGAGTTGTACGTTAACCTGCTGATTGAGATATAATAAAAAGCTAATCTCATAATCTCAAATAACTATCATATCTTAATCAGCATGTTAACATCCAACTCAAATAATTATTAATTTTTAACCGAAAAAGATGAATTTAAAATGTAATGAATAGTTGAATGGTCATTTTATAACTTGTAATAGTTAATAGATTCAATAAAATAATTATTTATAGTTAAAAGATTATTTTATAACTTTTAATAAATAATATAATTAATAAAATAATATTTTATGATCGGAACTGTAAGTATATTTTACTATTAAAATTATTATGCGACACCATAACATAGTGTGCACTGCAGTCAAAGACTACGACGGCTAAAGTGAGTAGAATCCCATGCGAGCGATTGTACATTAAAAAAGAATTAACTGTGGGAACGAGGTCCAACTTTTCACATGTGCAACGTGTGATTCTCAGCGGCGTCTGGGTCCTTCATTTTATTATATTGTTTAAAAATGAGAAAACGCGGTATTGGAAAAGCCCATTTAATTTTATTTTAATAAGATGGATTTAATGAATTATTTTAATAGATATATTAAAATAACATCCATAAAATAATACTCCATTATTTAATCCATATATTATAATAATATTTTTCTAAAATAATAGTTTTTTCACTAAAATAAAATGTTATGGACAAAAATATTTTTAAAAAATAAAGATGAAAATAATTATTTAATTAAATGTTATGTGTACTTTATATATTTAATAAAATATAATTTAAAATGTTTTAAATAATTAATTTTGTCAATTATTAATTGATATAGATGAACGGGAGATATTAACATTTTTAAATAATATTAAGAGTTTAAATTTAAATATTATAAATTAAAAAATCATATTTAATTTAAATTAATTAAATAATGAATTAAATATAAATAATTATATAAAAATAACTTAAATAAAATTATAAATTCAACGAATGTTTACAATTTTGAGACACATGGCGCAAAATGATTACCGAGATTGAACCAAAGTGGTTCAAGCAACAAAGGATGAACTCCCACACAAGTGCCGAAACGGTGCGTTTTAGCTTACCTTCCGCTATATAAACCCGGGCTCTATTCCGCTTTCCTTAAACAAATCCACCTTCCTTAATTACTGCTCAAGGGGGAGAGAAAAAAAAAAGCATGGCTCCGAAATCGAAACAGGTTAACCCGAATCCCGACACGACTACCAACGAGATCCGTTACCGCGGTGTTAGAAAGCGTCCATGGGGCCGTTACGCGGCTGAGATCCGTGACCCGAGGAAAAAGGCCCGAGTCTGGCTCGGTACATTCAACACTGCCGAGGAGGCAGCGCGCGCTTACGACGCGGCGGCACGGGAATTCCGTGGCGCCAAGGCCAAGACAAATTTCATCTACAGTACCGTTAACGATAACGACCCAACCCGCAGCACCGTGGAGTCATTTTCTCCGCCACCTTTGGACCTCACACTCCCCGGCGGATCTCATTCGCCTCCCTTGACGAAGAAGAATCCGGTGTTTTTGTTCGATGTCTTTACTTCTGCCGGTAAGATCATCTCCGACGCAGGCGGGGCCGAAAGCGACTCCGATTCGTCATCGTCGGTTGTTGATTTTGAACATGGGGTGCGGCCGAGAGTGTTTGATCTTAACCAGTTGCCTGCTGAAATGTTTTGATTTTTCTGTTCTTTTCGCCGGACGTCGTTTTTAACTTCGTGAGTCTGCGTTTTGGCTTTCGTTCTCTTTTTCAAATGGTAAAAGCTGACATGTAATGTACAAGGAAGATAAATTCTAGAGACGTATTTTTTGGCAACATGATGAGGTTTTCTCCATGTTGTTTCTACGTAATTATATTTTAATATAAAAATAGAGGTCTATTTTATTGTTCTCCAACCTTTAATTTTTTTCCCAGTTTAATGAAATTATCATTAGATAAAAATATTAAAGCTAATTAAATTAAAATATAAATATTAAATTTCTATATCAATATAATATGAGATCTAATGATATAATTTGAACTTTTGCTATGTTATTGCTATTTTGCTGCCCAGGCTACCAAGTCAACGCGGCAGCAATTGATTCGACGGAAGTTAAGAAGGTCGATTTGTTTTGGCGACACCACTAGTGGGACCTCCATCGCACGGCAAACGCACTTAGTTTATAATATAAAGGCAAAAACTCTTAAGAACTCCATATACTTTAAAAGCACTTGCCATCGTAATATTTATTCTCTTAATGTGGCCCTCTAATTCAAAAAATAAACTCATTATGGTCCTTTAGCCAACATTTTTTGTTGTTGACATTAAGGTGTTGACGTGGTAGTTCACGGTGTTGATGCGGTTGTCAACAGTACTAACATAGTTGTCCATAATGATTGATAATGTAATGTGGCAGATGACATGGTAAATGTGATAAATTGGTAACTTAAACATGACAGATGGACTACCACTTCAGTACTATGGACCGCCATTAAGTATGGTCAACCTGACATGACCCGAAAATATGTATCTTCCACTCGAACTAGTCCCGACCTGAAAATTTTATATCATCAACCTGACTCGACCCATATTTTAAAGTACAAATTCGACTCGGTCCGGCCCAATATATAATAAGGATTTATTAAAAATTATAATTTTTTTATAAAAAAGTACATTATCGTCCTCAAATTGGGTCGAGCCAGAGTTTTTCACCCTCCACCTAAATCTGACCTCACCTCTTAAAAGATCTAACCCAACTCGGCCTAAACCCACATTTTTTTTGAAAACATTGTCCAAATCGAGTAGGGTCAGGTAGAGTCGAGTCGGAATCCGTCGAATTCAAGTTAGATTATCATCCTTAATCGCCATGTCCGCACCATAAACAATCATAATAATAGTAAAACCATCTCTTGATTAACATGATCAAAACCGTCCATTAAATCTAATCCGCCGCTTGACAGACATAGGTCAACTGGGTTGGGTTTATCGTACACACATGATACAGATTTCAAAGTGGTGGCCCGCGGCGGCCGATTTAGCAGTGGGAACCATAATTCGTGTCGTCTTGTACCAACGAACACGGGTGTTTGGCAAACATATTTTTGGAAAATTTTTAGTTTATTTTAACATAAATAATTGTTTCGTAGTCAAATATTTTATTTTTAGTGTTTGATAAGTATCTTTTTGAAATAATTTATTGTGTAAAATAAACCGAAAAAGAAAATATTGAAAAATTCAACTGCTTGAAATAACTTATTACAAAAATAATATGTTAAATGACATATTTGACCTTATTTTTTTTATAAACATTATTACTATAGAACATAACATAATGAAATAGTCTTCGTCCTAATATATTTAAGCTGAAATTTTATTTTATTATTTTAGTTTTTAGTTATAAATTCTCAAATAACAAAACATGAAAGTAAAAAAAATATAATGTTTATATTTTATAATAAGTTAATAGTTTGTATCAATCACACAATGTTAATATTTATAAATATTAAATTTAAAAAATATATTCTAAAATTTTAAAAATATTCATCAATTTTCTTAAGGAATTTTTAATTCTTTATCAAAAGCATTTTATCCGAATAATTTCACCTCAATAAAGACTAAAGTATTATAAAGCATATATGTACTTAACAATTAAATATATCATACTCTTATTTATCATTTTATCCATATCAACTATCAGCAAAATTTTACCAAACAGTTCTATATAAACAGTTAATCAAATCAGATAATCAAATCAGCCAGATCAAACCAACTAGTAAAATCAATTGCCAGCTATTAGTTGTTTACCAAAAATATTAAAGTTATTTTTTTAATTTTTTTTGACAAATATATATTTTAGCATCTAAGCTTAGCTTTTAAATATATTCGTGACCTCTAAATTATTATAATTTAGTCTTTAATTATTGTGCGAAGAACTTGATAGTCGATATGTGCATTTGATGAATAGTGTATGAATTTGTTTATATAATATTAGTTTATTAAATTAAATAATCGAATATGATAAAATTATTATGTTTATTTAATAAATGAAAAAACTCAAATAAATGTGTATTTGATTCATTTATGCTTACGAACAAACTCGTTTATTGACTCGTTCATAAACTCATTTATTGGCTTATTTATAAATTCATTTATCGGTTTTCTTTTTCCTTATATTTCTTATATTTTAAATATTATTGAAAGTATGGACTAAATGTAACACAAGGTTTGGAAATCGAATAGTGAAGTTTGAGAAACTCAGAGGCTAGTAGCGTAGTTTCACCGTTTTTTTTCGGCTTGCAAATAAAATTGTCAAAAGAGAGTGTTGGTTTATGAATACTAAGTGAACATTAAATGAACATGTTCGTTAATACTAAATGAACGAACATAAATACTTTAAAAATAAATAAATGAGTTCGAATATAATACTAAAAATTTAAGCAAATACGAATCAGGCATTAACATCTTAAAAAATAAACTAATGAACACAAACGCAACTTTGTTTATTCCAGCTCGATTCATTTACACCCCTAACTAATATTTGTATAAATTATTATTTTTTGAATAGTTTAAGTTAATTACAATATAGTATATGCTCAAAATATTTCTTAACCATTAACAATTCATGCAGACCCTACATACATAATTGCTTAAATCGAAGACTTAGAGAAAAAAACGATATTTCATTTTACTATTGAAATCATTTAATCACGTCATTATTTTAACAAAAAAATTAAATGTAATAATTATTTAGATTAGTTATAGATGCTATAAAAAGAAAAATTACACTATACGAGTCTTGGTCATGGATCCATAATTGAACTTCACGACTGTAGCCCAATTAAACTAAACCAAAGTTTGAAACTTTATTAATGGGCTTTACCCCATAGCTCCCACAATCACCATCTTCTTCATCTTATCATCTCCCTATCATAATTAATCCCCACCTCGTCAACCTCGATTTTATTTTATTTTCCCAATCTTAGAAGCTAAAAGCAGAGGTTTTGCCATGGCAGTGTAAAGAACAGAAAGTAATATATATATATATATATATATATATATAAAGGGAAAATGGGAAGGATATTTGCTGTTGAGCTTGAAGGAAGGTCTTATAGATGCAAGTTTTGTAGAACTCACTTAGCTCACCCTGATGAGCTTGTTTCCAGGGTACCCACCTTTTATTTTCTTCCCTTGATCTCCTTGTCTTTCTGGGTTTTTCATTTCTCACCCATTTGTTGTGTACTTGTCATCTAATCATTCTTCTTTTGATTGTAAAAGTTGGTTCTTCTAGCTATTATTGATGGAAGAAGGCTTAAAGTTTATAACTTTTGATGTGTGGGTCCTGTTGTGTTTATCAACATACCACTAGGAACATGATGAATAACGGTACTACTGGTTTTATGGTGTACATTTGTTGATCAGATGTAGTTGGCATTTAAGGGGAGATTGAATAGGAGAACCTCAAAGTTTATGATTTTGGAGAATTTTGCGATTCTTTGGAGGGCTGAATTTGAATAAAATTTGGAGCTTTTGAGAATCGATTGAATAAAAAGAGTTACACCAAAAATACCTTACCTAAAGGCTTCACCTTCTTTTAAGACGGGGAATTTTCATGAATTGATGTAATCACTTATACCTTACCTAAGGGTCTTGTTGTATTCTCAAGATTACCATATCTAATGATTTATTTGGTTTCCCCGTTAGCTGCGGTTTGATGTATCGGCTATGCTCGTGTCTTCTTTGTATGGATTTAATTAGATTCTTTAATGCATCTGCTGCAAAATGTGAACTGAAGTTTTTTGATCTGCCTCCTGTTGAGGCTTTGCTTTCTCAGGATATTGTTTATGATTTGTAAGCATTGCTTTATGCTGTATGGAATGTTAAAGACCTTCTGTGTCGAAAGTCGAAACTCTTTGTTTGATCTGCCTCCCAAACCCGTTTGTGATATACCTTAGAGCTCAATCAGTACATACATACGTAGTTACATATACACACATTATATATAATAGTGTAAGAAACGACCTTTCGGAATAGGATAATCCAAAAATTACAAAGATTGTTCCCCTAAACTGATGTATTCAATCCACAAGTGTCGGTTTCATTGTTTCTCTCATGTTCATATTTCTGTTGTCTTTTGAGCTCTGTGTGTGCGGGGGTGGAGATTGTTGATGTATAGTTGAATGTGCACTTAGGTTCCTCTCAATGCATGCCTCGGTTCTGAAAATTCTGATATTAAACAACATACACAGTTGAACCCCATGCTAGATTGCTAAGTGCTAACGACTTGTTTCGGTTTTCTCTATTTCCTCAGTCTTTCCATTGTCGCCGGGGGAATGCTTACCTTTTCAATAATGTGTAAGATCTCGTAGTTCTTTCAATGATTGGTTGACTAATTTCTTTTGCCATTTGATTCTGTCATTCTGATCTTATACTTGTTATTCAACCACCTAAAGCTGCTTTAAAATTTCATATTACACCACAATGATCTTTACAAAAGCCGTGAACCTTCGAAAATCTCGTAAGTGATGATTGAAGCTTCGAGTTGCTTATTGTTTAGTATTTCATGTTCCAGGGTGAACATAACAGTTGGAGCCTTAGAAGAGAGGCAGATGCTATCCGGAATGCATACTGTGGCAGATGTATTTTGCTGCTGTTGTGGGCAAATTGTTGGCTGGAAATATGTAATTTCCCGAATGATTCGATATCGATTTCAAATCTAGTGCCCGAGACACTAATCATAACCGAGTCTCACTAACTTTCCCGAACTTTGCTTTTGCTTTCGCATGATTGTTCGATCTTTGCCGGGCAGGAGACGGCACGCGAGAAGGATCAAAAGTACAAAGAAGGAAAAGTTGTCCTTGAGAGGTAAAACGTTTTTTTCCCATTGCTTTCATCATTTACACTTGTCAATGAAACATCGTGTAGGTTAATCGTTTCCTTTTTTGCATGGTACAGGGGAAGGGTCGTCGACGGAATCGACATCTCACCGGAAGTATTCATCGACACCCGTCCTAGTACGAGCGACGGCGAAAACTAGGATGTAAACCACACTGTTTCTGAAGTAGATGTACAAATATAGCAGGTGGAATGCTCATGTGATAATTGACATTTAGTACCAAAGTAGTCAATGCCATGCTGCTAGTTTTGGTGTACCGTTTTGAGTTGTTATTTTTTTTAAACATTTCATCTATATATTTCACACAATATGAACACAATCCGAAAAATATATATCTTTCATCCGCTCGTTTTTTTGAGATAAAATTCGAACTGGATCTAAAATAATATATTTATTATAAAATATTATTTTTATTTAATAAAAATATGAATTCAACTGAAAAAAAAATAATATATAGAATAATATTATTGTAATTACTATCAAATAAGGTAAAATTAAAATTTCTCAGGTTGGATATGGTCGATTATTTTTATTTTAAACCTAATCTGATCGGACCCAAACATAACCTCTAAACAATCCGATCCAATCCAAACCTAACATTATTTAAAAAAAATCCAATCAGATCTAACCGTGTCGAGTCGGAACCGTCGAGTTCGGGTTCGGCCGCTTATCCCTACAAAGAAGTTGAGGCAAAATCTGCCGAAAATACGATTTTTTTTAAAAACTGTTCTTTTTCATCTTCTCGTTCTTCGATCTTTTCTTTTATTTTCCGTTTAATATTTCATGAACAATCCTTTTTCTCTTTAATTTCTCTTCTACTTTTGCTTTGGGGTTTGTTTTCTCCGTGCAAATGAACGGTAGAGGCAAAGCAAAAAGAACCAAAGATGGGAAAGTCTTCTTCTTTGAAGAAAAAACGTTCCAAAGATTCATCTCTGGTAACTTCTTTTCTTTCCCATTTTTAAATTTGATTTTTTTGGGTAAAACTTTTGGTCAATCATTGCCTGCAATCTGTAGTCTAGTGGTTTAAAGATTTACCCTTTGTTTGGATGTCTAGGAATCGTAGGAAGATGAAAGTGATCTTTACGCTCTCTTTGTTTGGTATTTTGTTCTTCATTTGGCTTAGTTTGTACTTATTTTGGTGATTTAATTAGGTATAGGTGAACCCTTTTTAGTAACTAAAAGTATCATTTCATGTTTGAATGAAAGTTTGGTGAATTTAATCTCTCCCTATGTATGTATGTATGTATGTGCATTATTCGTTTTAGTCACCAACGATGAAGCGAAGGTTAAGCAAGGAAAGCAAGTCCAAGAAGCTCGGTCGTCCACAAGATGATTCTGTTTCTTATTCAAGTGATAATGAGCCTGTTTCATCCTATAGTTCCGAGGATGATTGTAGAAGTCAAAGGTCCCGGTCCTGTTACAGGAAGAGCAGAAAGAAGAGGTCCAGTAGGGAAACTTGTGAGGATTCTCCTTATGTGAAGAAACGTAGGGGATCGGGGAGAGGTGGTAGGAAGAGAACCAGAAAGAGGAAGAAGTCTACGCGAGGTGGGAGTGTGAATTCTTCGAGTAGTCAGGTTGACAGTGACAAGATTGAATATGAGAAGAGAAGGGGCAGATCAGAAAAGAAGGAGAAATATGGAAGATCGGAGACTGTTAAAAGAGGAAACAAGAGGAGTAAGGGCCAATCAAGGAGTTCTTCTTGCAGTAGATATAGTGAAGGATCTGATTATTTGATCGAGGAGAGAGTAATGGAGGATGGCAATTCGAGAAGGCTGAAATCATTTATTACTGTTGTTGAACAAGTAAACGGAAGCTTCAGAGAACTGTTTGCCAATGAGCCTAAAGAAGATGTATATGATCATGATGATTATCCATCCTGCAGAAGCAATGACAGTAACGATGGCTGTGGTGAGGAGTTATGGCAACATACCCATACTGTGTCCGAGATGATAAAGCCCCCAGATGATGAGCAAGTAGAAGTCTCTAACGTCAGAACTAGCAATGCTGAAGAAATTAATGTTTGTAGTGCTACTGATAGACGGTGATGATATTGAATCGATTTTTAGACAGCATGCACTGGAAAACTTAAAAAAGTTTTGTGGTGGGATCCAGAAAAACATTAATCCTCCAACAACTCCAATTGATAAGTGTCGATGTTGTTCAATCGCTATCCTATGTAAAGATGGACTTGTTTCAGATTAAAGCCCCTATAGAAGATGATGGCAGAGTGGTGGTAGCAAGCCAAGCGAGCCGACAGATTAGACAGCCTCAGGTTAGAAGGGACTCATCCACTCTCCCTGAGGACGAAAGGAACACCACAAATACGAGTGATGATGGAAACTATTCCAAGACTCTGGAGTGTGATGTTGCTTCCCTACCTGCTCGGTTGGTTCCCGCTGGAATTCCTAGAAAAGTGGTTAATACAGTTATTGATTCTGTTTCTAATAAACCGAAGCTGGTTATCTCACGAACCGGACTTGAAGCTCCTAATGCTCGCAATACTCAGAAACAAGAAGCTGTTACTCAAGAACCTTCTCAGGCCAGGTTGGTAACCAAGACTAGTGCAGACGAGGGTGGTTTAGAAACAGAATCAACGACTGTATTGCGAGCATTAGGTGTTTCAAGTTCGGTTTGTGATTTAACAACTGCCCAAACTGTGAGTCCCGATGAGTGTGGTAACCCAGTCGGTAATAAAGATAACAATACCTGCGGTTCTACTTGCATTAAGACATCCCCTTCTGGAAACGTTAGCTCGGATAAACAAGAAGATGTGACAAAGGATGGTTCACAGTTTCAGCAAAAGACGATGTCCGTAATGATGGTGGGGAAATGGTGCAAAAGACGATGTCCGTATTTGTGGTGTTCCTTTTGTCTTATTTTGTGCAGGTGAGTTACCACGTTTATATTCCTAAGAGAGCCCCTGCTTTGGCTAGTAGATATCTCAAGCGCTGAGCCCTTTTGTTAATGTGATGGATTTTGATTAAAAGGATGCAGCTTTTAGCAGCAGCAGCAGTAGAGAACTAATTGATCGCAGTGCATTTTGGTAGCATTCTTTTAGATCACTTGCTTAAATTATTAGATCTGCCTTTTATATATTTTTTTTCCTTGGCATGCACGGATTTGATCATTTTAGATATAATACAAGAAAGCAAATGTTATTGGAGTATTCAAACAAGAATCGAGTAGAAAAAATTCGAGTTAATCGAGTTTACAAGTGCAAGGCAAGGTGCTTTAAAAAACTGTAAAGTGTAAGCAGACTGCAACATTGTACAAAGAGATTATTGTTTTAATGAATGATTAATGTTTGTGAGATTACATCTCCTAATGTGATGATAGCAAAGTTTAAATTATACATCAATGTCATCCCTGCAACACAAAATTTTGATCATAATGGATGAAAATTACACAATTTCTTGGAATGTTATGTACATCAAAATCATAAGAAAATGCAGAACCGTAAAACACACCACAAAAACAAGAGAGAAAATCCATCTGTTTTTTCCTCTTCAGTTCGAGTTAAGATCAAGCGATGTTTGGCCTTGCCACCTGTGTTACATATGAGGATTTCAGAACGATTCGGGTTAAGATCATGTGTTAATGGAGCAGTAGCTCAACAAACCTGGAAAGCAGAAATCTCGCAAGAGGGCTCAAGTTGGAAGTTGAATTAAGTTCTTTATGCTGCTGTTTTCCTCTACTGTCGACTTCGGAGTTCGGATTTTGCGCATCTTCAGGGGTCAGCTTGCCCTTTTTGAACAAGCGAGCCGCTAGCTCCTGCATATCTCTCATTGAAGATTCCTTCGAGCTGCAAAATTTTAGCTGAGTTCATAATTTCAAAGAAACCAAGATGGCTTACTTTCAAAAGGGATAATAATGTGAGATACAAAAGATGTTAACCTTGCCAATCGCTCGAGCAACCTGCGAACGAGAGCTTCACAAGATCCGGGCTTTGCACCCTCCATGTTTATGAAAGAATTAGCAACTCCACGTACAACTGACCCTTCTGAATCATCAGCAAGGACCTATATTTTTATGCATTGACAAACTCTTAAGATATTAAGATGTTAACAAAACGGATGCAGACTAAAAAATATCGGAAGCCAATATGGTAAAAGAGGAAATGCAAGTAAACATCACAGTAAATAACTTCAACCTACTTAAACATGAATATTTCATCAAGCTAACTGGCAGGGAAACCTAAAGTAAATGTCGAGTAGTGCGCACCTCTTTTAGGGATGGGATAAGCAACATGGATAGTGGGACAGATGATGATATTATCTTGGCATTTTCTTCATCATCACTAGCTTGACGTATCCTTGGAAATAATCTTTGTACATCCAAATAGTCAAGGGAACTTCTGGAGAAAAATAATAATACTCGGTGATAGTAACACAGCCAAAATATATAACCAAATCTATATAAAAATTTTCAGCATCAGAGACATGGAAAGTTATCTCTTTATCAGGCTTACCTGGAAGAATCAGAACTATTGTTAATTGGATGACTTCTATTTTCCTGCCCGGTATTTATCTTGCCCAGTCCAGACCTATCCCTCGCATTTCCTTTCCTCAACCCTGTCTGAATTGCAGCTTTTGCCTGAATTGACATATTAAAAGATGAGCTTTTCAACAGAAACCACGGCCATGTCAAACTTATATTTCTATGGGACGAATTTGGGTATATGAATATGATAGAACATATCAATATAGTGAATGAAACATACATTCTATAGACCATTTGATTGAAATTCACATCCAAACAAGAAATAGCTAAAAAGGGTTACAGCATAACAAAACGGGTCAAGAAAGATAAATGAAAAATACCACCTCTGCAAGATTTGATGCGCTATCTTCAACTGATGCACTTTAAGTTCTCTCTTGACTTCCTAGCCTGGATCTTGGAGTTCGAGGAGAATCGGATTCATCATGTTGGCCACACAAAACAACAGTTCCAAAGGTAGAAGCATCTTCATTAGAAGCATATGCGCTGCTAGACTACACAGCACATTGAAATCTAATACAATCAATGGCTGGGACACAAGGGAACAGAGACTTTATTTACTTAAAAAATTGTGGGTAAATCGCAAAGGAAGTGAAGGAAGCTTACAAGAGCACTTGGGTTGCGAAACAATGCAGGTGATTGAGATCCTCTAGGAGACCTTACTACAACAGTTCTTGACCCACTGAAAGACATTTCATCCTGAAAGCAAAGCAAATAATAAAACAATGTGACAAGAGCAGAGCATAAAAGGAACATATTGATAAGTGTACGAGACGAGACATAAAAACATGGACTATACGAAACTGGCTGGCTCTAGCTTAATAGAGATGATTGGTAAATCCAGCTGAGTAAATTTAATTTCTATCCCCAATTATCATCACACAGGGAAAAAAGGTTTGTCACTGTACCTGTATGAAGAATTTTCAGAGTTATGAAATAGATCGAAAAAACATTCTCTTAGTGTACCTCCTTTGTGTAGTGAATGTCACATGTAAATCTAGTTTTGGTTATACTACACCCAGTGGTCAATAAGGTTTGAGTAAATTTTCGTATTCCCCACTAAAATTTCAAAAATAATAAATCAGTCATTAACTATATCAATTTGTAATAAAATAAAAATTGATGACATGACAACGTTAACAAAAAGATTAATATTTACTTCAAAAAATTCTAATTTTTATTTTTTTTTCCAAACACTCCATTATCTTCATTATATTTGAACCACATTCCTTACAAAATAAAAATCACACTTGAACAATTAGGAGCATTTTCCTTAATATTTGTTTCAACCAAACTTCAACAAAACTTAAAAGTCTAAAACTATCTTCAGTTGCAATATCGATCTTCAAAACTCAATATTTTTATTCCTATCTTACAACGTTGCGTTAGAGTAAAGTACTTACTGGTGTGCTCTATTCACTCTTTAGCATTGGATTTTTGGTTCGTAGAGTACTAGTTGTTTGAAATATATAATGAAACATAAAGAAATAACTCAATGGTTCACTCTTTTTTACAACAAAAAAGAAGGCAATTTATTGTCTAAATATAAATGTTTTGTTTAAGTGTGGTCGAAGCAAGTACCAAGGCAATTACTCCAAATTGTTTAAGAGATTTTTTCATTTTGTAAGTAATGTGATTCGAATATAATAGAGGTGTTGGGGTGTTTGAAAAATGAAAATTAGAAAACTTTTAGGTTAAATTAGATATAAATTCTTTGTTCAATAACCTATTTAATATTTTAGCAGTAGTTTAGGGATAAAATAAAATATTAACCTCTTTGTTAACATTATCACATCATTAATTTAAGGGATGATGATAGAGTGATATTTTGTTTCAAATTGATAACGTTAATAATCATTTTGTTATAAATCGTTAATTTTAGTGACCCATTTGTTCCTTTTTAAATTTCAGTGGATAAAATAAAAACTTACTCAAACAATAATGACTTATGTAGTTTACCCTTCAGTTTTTTGCCTGATGAATCAAAACGATTTTTTCTTTTCTTTTTTCTTTTACATAAAACGTCCTCGTTTTAATGAAACGAGGCCGTATCTTTTTGTCAGCTCTTATTTGTTCTTGTCTCTTTTTTTACACTAAAATGGGCCTAGTCAGACGGCCCATTTAGATCAATGACGTGGCTTCACGATATCCAATGGCTTAATTTCTAGGGAAAATATATATTTTGGTACATGAATGTCTTTAAAGTGAAATTTGGTACCTAAACTTTTTTTATTTTTGAAAGAGAGGTGACGGAATTGTAACAAAATTTTAATTGAATGATTCAATTATAAATTTTTTGAATTTATATTACTTGTTTATAGTTTAACTAATAATTAAGTGACCTAAAATATATTTTACCCTTAATTATTGGTTATCATCTATCTCTGTTGCCCTAAATCATAGCATAATAAATATACGAAATCAATTGAGTGGTTGTGTTAATAAGTTGGCATTAAAATTTTCCACATACAAAGTTGTAAACGTTTCTCTATCTCAATGTTTAAAATATGGGGACGGGCATGGATCAGATCGCGTCAGATTTTTTAGTTCATTCGACTCAACTTGACCCGAAAATTATAAATCATTCATACGATTCGAACTCGGCCTGAAAAATATACATTTTCTACCCATCTCAAATCCAACCCAATATTTTTGATATAAAACTTCATCCGATCTAACCCGAAATAATATATTTATTAAAAAAATATTATTTTTATTCACTAAAAATAGTGATTTAATCGAAAGAAAATAATATATAGAGGGATATTATTGCAATTTTCCCTAAACATATAAGGTAAAATCATAATTTTTTCGGGTCGAGTAGTGTCAGATATTTTTCATCTTAAAGCCGAACCCAATCCGACCTGAACATAACCTAAAAAATTCAACCCAACTTGAATTTTTTTTAAATCCAACCCGATCAAATCGAATCGATCAGAATTTATCCAATTTGGGTCCCTGCCCATCTCTATTACAATATGCTATTAACAAAACCCCAACAATTCATGGTAGTTGGTATTTAATTGAGTTTAATTGTCTCAATGAAGTATTGGGTCATTACATATTACATAACATAACTATGTATGGTGCTGTTAGATTCAAACATTTAAAAAAATATATTATTATATTTATACGATACGAATATAATAATTAAATTTGTACATGCTGCATGAACAGTTTGAATATGAAATGTAAAAAATAGATGTCCACATTAATGACTAGATTAATAAAATATCGAGACAATATTAATAGTTTAAAATCTTAATTTGAATATTTTAAGGCTTAAGGGTTACTTTTATCCTTGTAGTAGACTTATCTCATTATTTTCGTCCCTATGTTATTTTCGTATCAATTTAGTCATCAAAGTTATTTAATCACATTGATATTTAAAATAGTTATTATTGTTTAGGGTTTGAGTTAGGGTCTATGATTTAAAGTTAAGGTTTAAGATTTTAAGTCATATATTTAGGGTTTAAGATGATACGATTAAACAACTTCGGGGTTAGATTGATATGAAAAATATCATAGGACGAAAACGATAAATTAGGTATGCTATATGGATAAAAGTAGCACTTAAGTCATATTTTAAAATTAAAAAAACTAATTTAAAACTTAAATCACTATTTAAATGCGTTTAATGCAATTAACTATGTAGATATATAATGCTTCAAATATAATATTGACATGAAGAAACAAACACAACGTGTCTAGGTGGGATTGAATTGAAAGAAGTACCATTGATATTGTATGATGCTTTTTGTTAATACAAAGGGTAAACTATATGTTTAGTATCTAAACTATCACTTTTATTCTGTTTTAGTACCTAAACTTTCAATTTTTCAAAGCCATACCTAAAATTTACTTTTTGTTCCATTTTAGTATCCCACCATTAAAAATTTAGGTACTAAAATGAAACAAAAAGTAAACATGGGGTACTAAAATGAAATAAAAAGTAAACGTTAGGTATGATTTTGAAAAAAATTGAAAGTTTAGGTACCAAAAAAGAACAAAAATGATACTTTAGGTACTAAACATGTAATTTACCCTAATATAAACTAGGGCAAAACATTTTTTATGGTCCATAATGATTTTCCGGCCTAAGCCCACTTTATTGACCACATAGTAAATATGTGTTTTTTAATACATTTAGTATACGGGAAGATCCTTTTATGCACGAAATCACGTGATAATACGTTCTTTTACAAAAATAAATTAATGATTAATCAATCAGTCTGGAATGATAAGACGTTAGTAAAATAAAATATAAATAAATAAAAATTTAAAAATTATATTCATAATAAACTTTCATAATATTTGATTTAAATTAAACTATTAATGATTAAATACCAATAACTCTTTAAGAGTATATATCTTGAAAATATAATATAATATAATATAAAATATCAATCTTCTAATTATATGAATCTATATAAATTCTTAATGGAACTCGTTAGGGCTTTCGTCAAAGTTTTACAAATACTTGTTGGTTATACCAAATCCATTGGCTGTGTTCAGCTTGGGAGGCGGAGCTATGGGGTTTGTTCGAAGGCACGCAGTTGGCTTGGGACCTGGGTTTATGGCGGATCATGGTGGAAACTGATATTGTAAAGAAGCCATCTCAGTTCTGCAGTCCGGTTCAGGGATGGGAGTGGGGTCTTCCATGGTTCATCATATCAACGAACTCGAGCTTCATAAATCCTGACACTTTCGTTGTGTCCAGCCAACCTACCCCGACAGCTCCTTTTCGCCTCATCAAACTTTGATAGCTCCGTGGAACCTGTGATTATGTGAAAATATACCATGACAACAGAAATGTTCATAATTGGTTAACTTGTAGGTGAAGTAATTAGCATTTCAAGTGTCAAGAGAATCATAGAAACAATCAAAATATCAAATGATAAACAAAGTCCAAAATATGCTGCATTGCTGATAGAAACGTTGATTGATTCCTGAAACAACCACAACCGGCGCCTTAGCATCCGCCGCAGCTGCAACCGGACCCTCTCCTTTCTGAAGCTTTCTTCTTCTAATCATCAGGGAAACCATGGTAACCTACAGTACCCTCTTCTTCTTTTTCCCTTCTTCGTCATCCTCCATTTAAAAACTCATCTGGTCCAAAATTTGGATGATCATGTTGGTGACAGACTCTTGAGAGACATATCAAGAAAAGGGTCATTCAAATGAATACTGGTAAGGCAACCAATTGTGTGTGGCTGTTTGTGTTGGAAAAAGCTTTTTAGAGTATCAGAGTGCATGATAAAATAAGAATGGGACCAAATGGACCTACCAATCTATACCATATAGATATTCAATTTCCTATTATATAGGATCATTGGAGACATTCACATTTCTTTTGTGAATAAGACAATTCCATTGTCTCTTGAACTATCATTCCCCGACCCAAAAAATGGCTGAAACAAAGAGTTTGGATGTGGTGGGCTGTAGGGCAATGGGTTCAGGCATAGTTCAGCTCGGTGCCGTGCATGGTCTCCATGCTTGGCTCCTTGATACCGACCCTGCTGCTCTTTTCCGCGCCACCAAATCCATCTCTTCTTCCCTTCAACGTTTCGTTTCCAAAGGCTAAATCTCCCAGGTAAAAAAAGCTTGCTTCTTTGTTTCATCTTTCTTGTATGGGGTTTTTCAAGTTATATACATATGTGTGTGTGCATATGTTGATGATCAAAACTTTTATGCGATT